AGTAACATGGTGAGAGCTGGATAGGTTGTACAATGGTCAAAATTATAAAATATGACAAGAACAAGTTAAAAACAGATTAAAAATTATTAAAAAACATTAGAGCATTACATCGTGAAGCCACTTGATGATTGCACAAATTAGTGGTCATGGAATAATGAGTGACATGAAACCCTTTGACAGAAGGCCGAAGGATGTCAATGTCTGTGTTGAAAGATGGAACGAATTGTGGGCGTGTGCCAAACGTTGCCAAATCACTTCAGATGATGAGATCTTCAGAATTTTATGTAAGAATTTGTTAAACCGACCAGAGGCAGTTGAATAAACTATATTTTTATTAATGGGAATTTAAATTAACAATTATTAATAAATCGTGAGGAGAGAATTATTATATTTTGAGTGGAATGAAATTTACTGGTGGAATCGGCCAAAACACAGATTCTAATTATGGTTGTGAAGAGTTGAAATTTGGGGAGATATGTAAGTTCTCCAATTTTTCGCAGTTTAGCAAATATGAGTAAATGACACTCAGTTGTTTAACATCTGTCTTTTGTTGATACAGTTGTTATTCATGAAGATGTGGGACATTTCCAGGAATAAACGTTTGGAAAGGTGTTTTTCTTTATCAAGATAAATCAAGATAAATCTTGATAAAGAAAAACTCCTTTCCAAACGTTATTCCTGGAAATGTCCCACATCTTCATGAATAACAACTGTATCAACAAAAGACAGATGTTAAACAACTGAGTGTCATTTACTCATATTTGCTAAACTGCGAAAAATTGGAGAACTTACATATCTCCCCAAATTTCAACTCTTCACAACCATAATTAGAATCTGTGTTTTGGCCGATTCCACCAGTAAATTTCATTCCACTCAAAATATAATAATTCTCTCCTCACGATTTATTAATAATTGTTAATTTAAATTCCCATTAATAAAAATATAGTTTATTCAACTGCCTCTGGTCGGTTTAACAAATTCTTACATAAAATTCTGAAAATCTCATCATCTGAAGTGATTTGGCAACGTTTGGCACACGCCCACAATTCGTTCCATCTTTCAACACTGACATTGACATCCTTCGGCCTTCTGTCAAAGGGTTTCATGTCACTCATTATTCCATGACCACTAATTTGTGCAGTCATCAAGTGGCTTCACGATGTAATGCTCTAATGTTTTTTAAATAATTTTTAATCTGTTTTTAACTTGTTCTTGTCATATTTTATATAATTTTGACCATTGTACAACCTATCCAGCTCTCACCATGTTACTGGACGTTTCCCTCATCCTATACGTAAACAACAATTAGCAACATCCTCACATACTACTGTAAGTTGAGTCAATTTAAATTCATTTTACACCTTGTTGCTACTGTTATCATTGTAATTGCAGCTCCTGATGATGATGGCAAAGTCCATTGAAAGCTAGAGAGAATTAAAAAAAGTATAAAGAGTCCTCTTTGCTTAAATTTTGTCGAAGTACCCAACAAAAGGCGGAAGCTTTAATTTTTCACCTATATATATATATACAGGGTGACTTTGAAGTTGAGTCATTAATTTTCAGATAATGATTGTAGAAGGAAGATAAACCAAAATATGTGTGTAAAAATAAAAAAAAAAATAAAAAAATTTTTACCTTGTTTATAAAGTATCCTCCCGACAAGTATTCCAGTGCGGACCTGTATTTGATCGTGAGGTTTCCTGTGAGGTCTTAAGTCACCTGATTCACGAGCCCGTTGTACTACATTAACAAAGGCACGAGGGGTTGGTTGCACTCGATTGGGAAACCGATCCGCATAAACATGTGCCATTTTTTATTTCGTTTGAGCCACGCAACAGACACTATTCACAGCGACTGACACTGATTGTATCTATAACTGAACTGAATAAACTAGTTGTAAAAACGTCGTTCCAAATTCTTTCGCTTTTTTGTTTCCGATGCGATGAACCGATAAGGTGGACTATATCCGTTGTTGCCAAACACGATCACATGATTATTAGGGAGATATTGCCAAACATCTGCCTTATTAGTGCCAGACCTTATTTTGACATCTACGCATGCGCACATACAATTCTGTATCTATGAGGAATTAATAGGGATAAGGCACGTCCTTATTTAAGCTATAATAGGGGGAGCTTATTTAGGCGTTCTTATGTCACGACGATTCACGATCTAAGCAAATCGGGTGTCGTCGCAAGCCTATTTAACCTATAAATTTGTACTCTCAAATTCAACGATTGCTGAAGCGTTTTGGTAACTATGAATATGGATAAAAAGAGAATAAGGTTCACGTATGACGACGAAATGATTTTGCTGCGTGAATTTATTGCACAAAACCCTATCCGTTCTCCTGAGAAGTGGGACTCAATCTTACAGAACTTGCGAGAGCTTACGGGAAAAGAATTTATTTTGAGAACAATAAAAAAGCATCTGAACCATCTTCTGGAGCTGTTCCTCAAAAAGGAGGTTAACAGCAAAGTCAAGTAAGTATAAGATAGCACACTGTACCTACATGTATTTTAATAACAAGAGAATGCTTAATGTAAGACTTGGTGAAACAACATTTGTGTTTGACAGGTCTGGCATAGAAGAAGTCTATAATGAAAGAGAACATATGCTCCAAGAAGCCAGCGAGTTAATGAAAGAGACCTGCTCAACTACACCAGCAAAAAAGAAAAAAGTGGAAAACAAAGCGAAAGATATGATTGAAAAGACACGCAATGAAAGAGAGGCTATGGCACTGCTGGCCTTTTCTGATGTGGATGACACTTTAATCGACCATGATTACGGTAAAATAACTATTCTAAACATTTTTATACATATTACTATATTATCACAGTTTTAGGTGTTTGTGTTACAGTCGACGTTGACACAGAAAATAATAATAAGTCTGTACAAGATGTTGGAACTGCAAAACAGATATCTGTACAAGATGTTGGAACTGCAAAACAGATATCTGTACAAGATGTTGGAACTGCAAAACAGATATCTGTACAAGATGTTGGAACTGCAAAACAGATATCTGTACAAGATGTTGGAACTGCAAAACAGATATCAGGTAAAACAATGATTAGAATTACTGCTTGAATCTTCAGTAATAGAAACACTAAAACAGATCCACAGGTTATGGAGTATGACCAGTAAATAAAACCAGTGCTCGATATAAAATGTGTAGGTACTTATGTTATATACTTTGATAAAAGCCAGTGCAATGACTAACCTGTCAGTGAACTTCTTTTGTTTAGCACTGCGGTTTTATTTACAGGCCAGACTAACCAAATAGTGGATCCAGATGACTACAGCGTATATAGCATTGCCATGGCATCCCATTCAGAGGGCTACTACTAGATTAAGTAGTTTCTAGTATGTTATACATTACCTATAAAACAGAAAGCTCAAAACTACCTCTTACATTTCATGTTCAAGATTAAATACATTTGTTTATTGTTGCTGTTACTTACTTTTCGATCATTACAGCCCCCCGTACCAAAAGGATGAACAAAAGTAAAACATTGAGAAAAATGGCCTTGATTACCTACGAGAAAAAGCGGAAATATCACGAGAAATAAGATCTGCAGAACTCAAGTTAGAAGAACAAAAAATGGATAATGAAAAAGAAAAATTGCAAATGACAAAGCAAGACTTGCCTTGGAGTCTAAAAGGCTTGAGGCAGAAATTCAAGAAAAAAAACATAGGATAGAGTTAGAACAAAAGAAATCTGAGCAAGATGTCGCTGAAAGAAAAAACTTGAGTGACCTCATCAAAACACAACAAAAGCTTATTGAAGCATTACTGACAAAACTTGATAATAGATAATTTGCCATTAAAAAATAATATACTGGCCTTATATTGAAATAATAATGTTGATGCTAAGGATGGTGAGCACAAACCAAGTTTGTTGCCGAAAATATATGAAATTGATTCTGCAACTGGTTCCATGTATGAACATAGTAAAACTGTGTAACTTCAGGATCAAACATATTTCATCCACAACTCCTGAAGAAGTTGATTTCATATATTTTCAGCAACATACTAATTTAGTTTTGAAATCTCTTATTGGGTGCTTGCTGCCCTTATGGTTGTAAAATAAATAAACATACATTCCAAACAAGCTTTATTGGTCTTACAAGTCTATAAAAAATTACAAATTATCATCAAGCGTTACAAGTTAGAAACAACCCAAAATTTAGATGTAAAAGATGGCTAGCGCCATCTAAATTTGCGCTAGAGATAGTTTCTTTGCAAGTTTCGTCAATGACGACGCAGGCAAAGCAGAAACCCCTTACGATTTCTGGTCGCTGACTCAGATGAATTGTACAGAGTACAGATACCCCGGTACCAACCAACAGTAGCCGGCCACCAGAGTCGTAACGCAAGGCGTTCACAGGACAAACTAACAATAGCATTTTCTGCAGAACATGCAATAATATAGTCTGATATACTCGTTTGCTTTCCATTGCAAAGAAACTAGTTCTAGCGAAATTTAGATGGCGCGAGCCATCTTTTACATTTACCGTCTTCCCGCTATTTGATAGACCACATTCGCTTGTTTACTTTCCATTTGTCCGCCTTCACGGCTGGACCTGATACAGACCTATACCATACTGATGAGGGCTAAAGAGCCCGAAACAGCGCTGTCTGCGGTTGGTCTTGGCTGCGGCGATGGAAAGCAAACGAGTATTTCAAACCCAAAATGTCTCTATTTATCAGTGGCCTATGTAGGTCTCAAGTGAAGGTGGATTTGTATTGAAATACATAGCAGTCTGACTACTATACAGGCATGTATGGCAGTTAGTAAGTAGTACAGCCACCTTGTATAAAGCATCAACGTCTTGAAGTAGCATTTTTGGTTTTTTGAAAAATCTACAAAGGCAAATTCTGATATGACTTTCTGAAAACCCCATTCTACTGCTATCCTTAGAACTTTCATAGCAGAATTGAAACTCTGCTGATGGGCAGGTAAATCTTCCATTCTGCCATGAAATGGGGTAAATAGCACATCACTCAGCCCATATCCTTGATCACCAAATAAAACAAATCGTCTTGTGTCAAAACATGTCTTTTGCACTAATTCTTCAGAGATACCTGACTCCCTAAATATTCTGGCATCATGCCTTCTTCCCGGATATGCGCCTTTCAAACTAACAATAATTCCATCAGGACAAATTATTGATTGGAATTTTATGCAGTGATACCTTTTGTGTCCTGAATAATACTCTTCTTGATTTTCAGAGGGTCGACAAATTTTCCTTGCTGTACCATCGATGAAACCCAACAATTATTCATAGGTGCTCCTTTATTATGAATAGCCTACAAAAAGCACATTTCAGCATTTTATGAACCAACCATCACTTCAACTATATTACACAATACAATACCTGTGCATAATACTCCAACTTCTCCCTATTAAACCACTGCAATGAATTCAAATTGTTGAGAAGTACAGCATGCTCCTCCATAATCACACTTATCAATTTATTTATGATTTGTGACAAAGACTGAGTTGACAAGTGGAACATAGGGACCATATCACACAATCTGTTTGGATATGCCAGCCGTCTTAGTAGAATGCACAATGCTGTTAAACCTGAAAGAAGATAAATGGAACTTATACTGTGGTTTTCATGTTGATAGAATTCCAGCCTCTGGCAAGTGTTGTTTGAGTCAGAGGATGGAGTTCGATTGAAATGATGAACATATAGCAATAAATATTTAAACAAAATCATACCATCCACTTTATTACGTGTGATAGTGACAATTTCTGAAGGTATTCGTAAAACAGCCATCAGCCTATGAAGGTCAGACCTCTCAAATCGAAAATTTAGTCTTATTACTTCATCTGGCAAGTTTTCCAAGTTGAATTGTGCTGTATGAGTAATGCCTCTATCAATAAATATATTATGGAGGATGATATGTTCTATTTCCTCCTCATCTGCTCCTGCCAATATAACTGCTTCCAATTCAGCTTCCATTTTACAATCTCACTTCTCACACCTTTGGTAGAATTTCAACTACGAACCACCTATATTATGCAAGCAAAAACTGGAAGGAAAAGTGAGGTTAAGATAAACACCATCAAAGCGAACTGTCAAAATACGTTACATGTGCAATATCTCTAATTCCACTGTACTTATTTAGGTTCACCTAAATAATGCATACCCTTATTTAGGTCCATATGCAATATCTCTCTAATATCTATTGTAGCAGCTTTGTTACATACAATTTCATTTTATCTCTCTAAGCAATAGTATACTTTAGTCCATTTACTCGCGGTGGCAGACTAACTGTGATAGGAACTCCACGAGGGTCCTCGTAGGTCTTCCAGACATTCCCCTGCGTAGATATGGGTAATCCTCTCCAGTAGAAAACATGACACCGTAACTGTCTATGTGCAGCCAATCTCCACATGGGACAAACTCATTGAGGAAAGCGGCCACTTTGTTATTTTCCCCGCATCTGGGTTTTCCGCCTCTACCGTATGTCTTGGTATCCACAGCGTGGTGACCGGCTATCATCTTCGTGAAGTGATCCCATAAAGGAAACCTCCAAACTCTGTCACCGGTGTGCATCGAAGCTGCAAGCATGTACTCCCATAAGGCTTCTGAGTTGGTCCAAACTCCAGAAGCTGAAGCACCAAGTGAATGTTTCATGTCATATGTCATAGTTCCTATGTCCACGATGAATCTAGGCCAAAAGTTTGAGCGTAGACTAGAGCATCTGCTAGACATAGTCTACCTGCTGTATCAGTGGACTCGATCTTTATGCTTTTACCATTCATGGCCTTGACTATATCTCCAGGTCGCATTGCAGCACATCCAGGCATGTTTTCGCATAAGGGAAGGAGTGCTCTTACGTTTATAGGCAGTTGGAGTCCAGCAATCGCTCTACAAGCAGCTACAACACAAGCTGCTCCTCCCATGTCACCTCTCATAAATCTTTGCTTGTTGGGTGCCTTCAAATATATTCCACCGCTGTTATAAGTAATTCCTTTGCCGATCAGCACAACAGGCCTTTCATCTTTACAAGCACCATAGTAGCTAAGCTCTAAGAATATCGGTGGCTCGCAAGATCCTTGAGACGCCGCTAAGAATGCATTCATCTTCTGAGTCTCAGCCCATCCTCTCACTTTGACTTCTACGTTGATACCAGATTTACAAAGCACTTCTACAGCGTTCTGTGCAAAAGTTGTGGGAGTCATCATGTTCGAAGGACAGTCCATCAGTTGTCTTGATAGATTCTGTGCAGCAGCTTTTTGTAGACCTATTTGCCAGCCTGTCCAGTCGCAATCGTCATAAAGCTCGATCGTTGGAATGTATATTTGATGTTTCTTCGCTTTTTTCTCTTGATACAGCCATACACTGAGAGCGCAACCTTCAGCTGCTGATTCTGCATGACCAAAACTCTCCACGTAGACTTTTCGTACTCGCATCTTTTGTAGCGCCTTACATCCGTGTGCAGAAGCCACACGAATGGTTTCTTTTCCTTCGTCCATCTGTTCAAAAACATCGTACCCCTGGCACTGTCTTCCTAAACCTGCCACAGCAACCATACTGAATTCAGGATCGAGGTTGTAAAATAGTCTTACTTCTCCCGTCCTTGGAAGTGCCGAATACTTCAGTAGCTCTGTTACGCGACCACATACCATTGCGTCGTATCTCTGACCAGTCGGTGTCAGTTGACCAACATCAAATGGGTCATCAGGATTTGTGTACACTCCTAAAACTAAGCCCTTGGGGTGTATAATCTTACATGGATGGTCTGGTTTTGGTATCGGACACCCTGAACTATCATCTGACGATGTTGTTCTGCAGATGGCGGTGGTTGGGGTATACATGCGGTGGAAAGGTGTTTTTTTCAGAAGACCTCGCAGAAGCGCCATTATTGCGAATTTGCCCACTGATGCCTAAATATGCGACTCAATTTTGTAGGAATTAATTGAGATTGCGTGTCTTCACTTTCGAGAAGAATTTCAAAAAAGACGTTACTCTAATTGACATTTGAAAAATGATGTGTTTACAGTATGAGCTATAGCAAGGTGACACATATGAACTTTTTGTCTAACCTTTTAGTTCAAATTAAGGCATGGATCAAGAAAGCAATTTCCTTGCATAGTCTAATCATATTAGACGAAAATATCACTGGTTTGCGAAATAATTGTATAGTCTGGTTTTATTGCTACAAGTTGTTCAAGGGGGTATTTAAAGCATGGACGCATAAAATGGGTACAACAATTTTTCCGGGAAAACTTTTTATTCAACAACAAAGAATGAAAAAACGTGTTTTTTGGGATTCAATTGCGGGAACGGAAAAACTCTTCATATAAGAATTTTAGGTATTTACGAGTCCTACAAAATGAGACAACACGTAAAAAGATCCGACTAACAGCAAAAAAGTTATGGCCGAAAACCGAGGCAAACTGCAGCTTTTGGCACTTGTTGCTAATGCAACGATGGTTTCTCGCAGATACTTGAAATTCTTCTATCCTGTGCCGTGTATAAGTTTGAGCGTTTTGTGCTATGTGCTATGACATTTGTCAGTTTGTCCCGTTTGTCTGTTGTCATCTGTCGTAATTTATCATTTTTTTGTTTAGATCAGTGTATTATATGTTTTCTGTTTTGTGGTTTATATTCTCCTTGTGACTTTGTGATTGTTGATTTATTTACGTTTCTTTTCTATTTAATTGCAAACTATTAAAATGGCAGAGGAAGATGAGATAGATATCCTAGGAGAATTTAACTTGGGCAATTTTTTATCGAAAAACAACGGCAACATGTTAGTATGATATCAAGAACTATTTAACCTCAACCCTACTTGGTTCAACGTTTATACTCCTTTTGCTTACGCTATAGGTACCTACCTTTGTTATAATATCAATTGATTTCAACTGCCAATGGAACGCCGGCGGTACGGCAATGTCAGAGTTTATAAATTGGCCTTGTCTTGTACATTATTAGTTCAGTATCGCATTAGACCCGAATAAAGATAGCATGGCCACGCAAGGCGACTTCCTCGCACTATACTCATCATTATTATTTTACAGCTACGACACCTCAGAAACTTTGGTATCCCAAAATGCTGATATACTGAACTGTGACTTCACAATTCACCCACAGTGGCTCTTGGATAAACCCAGTGCTAATCCAGACAACTGGTATGATACCAACAACTTATCAATGAGCCTACTTGAAAGAAGTCAACTTGAAACTGATAGCCTGGGCCAAACATCTACAGAAAACAGTATAACAGATGAAAGTGGATGGACAGAAAAAGAAAAAAATTTGCTTGAAAGAGGCATTGATATATTTGGAAAAAGTAATGTACGCCTGGCTCAGTTTATAGGCTCTAAAACACCTTCTGAAGTTAGGTATTACTTGAAAAATTTTTATCTTGAAAATCATAGCCATGATGATAAATGTCTCAATGATGGTTTTACTGGAGATATTTGTACTGCCCAGCTGGCTGATGATGTCCTAGATGATACTCAAGTAAGTCCTTTCAATTTGTACCACTTTTTCTGCAACAAATTGGAGAATAAGTTTCAAATATATTTTACAATATAATAATATGCAAGTTTAAGAATGACTTTCTCAAATGAGGTAAATATAGTTTTTTTTTCACTACGGACATTATATGTTTTGTTTAAATGGTATGATATCCCAAAACATTCAATTTTCATCATAATCATGATATTTCAAACTTATTCCACAAATACTCTAAAATTCTTAGTAGCTTATTGTCAAACTAACAAACGAAAATGATTTGTGGACTAATTCATTTTAAAGGGAGTAAGGTGCATTTGTTGGTTGTTTTCCTTCTGTAAACATTTATAAAAGTTTTCCAATATGCTTATTATTGGAGACATTTAAGAATAGCCATACTCAATATCACAATTTTCTCAATTGTCAAGTTGACATAATGATATTGACAGAACACAATTTTAAATGCTGGTTATTATTTACACAGGTGCTTCTCATTTGAGGAATACAGTTTATAGTACCAATTACTAGAGAAAAAACATATTTGAGTCACCTAGTTTCATAGCTCCCTAAATCCATTTTTCAAACAAATAGAGTTGGCATTACTACTCTAGAAAGTCTAATTAATGCTTCAGATCCTTGACCACATTTCTAAATTTACTAAATTACTTTCAGAACCATTGTTTATTTCTCAGGTTGATTTCAAAATCTCCTAAAAGTGAGTGAAGACCAAAAACCCTTAAATTCATTTGGTAACAAATCTTGCCATACCCATAAGATTTGGATGTATCATACAAGTATTATGGAAGCAATTTTTTTACAATTATTAACCCCTCCCCTTCCCCTTGTCAGCAAAAGTAACCAAATCTCTAACCCTCCCCCTCATCCAATACTTACATGAACATTTCACCAATTTTAAGCAAACATTGGCTTTCCCTTGCATGTTCAGAATACCATTTAAAGTTTCAAAGATCAGGAGGTGTGTGCATGCAACATGGACACATTCTGCCCGCCTTAGGTGTCTGCCGGGTGGTACCTTCACGTTCAACAGTTAGAGACCAGCCTGAAAATTTTTAAAATTCTTTTAATTTTGAAAATCTTGAAAACAATCGTAGTATAGAATATTTTGAAAATATATATATGTTTGCATAAAAATCGTACTATTGACCTGTGGGGATCAAAAGTTGCTCCAGAGTAATAAATTTGAGCATTTGTAAGGCAGTTATAGAGCAATGGATCTAACGAAAATAGTTGATTTCCCTTACTCGAAAAATTATATAATTTGTGTATGAAGATATTAAACATAAAGGTATGTAAAAAAATATTTCTTTGATGTCTTAATTGTTGTGGTCGTACATTGTTGAGCAATACAACATTTGTTATTAAACTTTTTTGTAATTTCGGTCATAATAACCATATAGAAAACTGAAGATATAGTAACTTAGTGACTAAATTCAACAAATTGGAATCAATCAATCATTTGAGAACTTAACTCGCAACAACAATCCTGTTTATGAATGCACTCTTAAACAAATTTTATTTTCAATGTTTGTTAGGCCTGTAAAAAAAGTGAATTAGTTGAAATTGTCAAATGTTTGAAAAATAAAAACAGTAGTGGTGAAGATGAAATATCCAGTACAATAATAAAAATATGCATTGATTATATTGTAAATCCATTAGTATTTATTATCAATAATTCATTGAAAAATGGTATTTATCCTGATCAGTTAAAAACAGCACTTATCATTCCAGTTTACAAGAATAAAGGCAATTTGTCATCTTTTGATAGTTTCAGAACCGTAAGCTTGTTATCAGTTTTTTCAAAAATATTTGAGATGGTAATGAATAACAGAATATTGAATTTTTTAACTCTAAATGACCTGATAAAGGAAACTTAACATGGTTATATTAAAGTAAAATCAACCCTTTCAACTGCTTATAAGTTTATTCAGAATATTATAGAAGACTTGGACAACAATAAGAGTGTACTGGGTATCTTTCTTGACCTTACTAGAGCGTATGACTGCCTAGATCACAATATATTATTGCAAAAGTTAGAAAGATATGGCATTAGAGGACCGGCACTTTCTTGGATAGAATCATACCTCAGCAATCGTAAGCAAAAAGTAAAACTGTTGGGACATAATGGAACAGCTATTTCGAACGAGCTTAATGTTCAAACAGGGGTGCCTCAGGGAAGTATATTAGGTCCCACATTGTTTGTAATTTTTTTAAATGACATCAATACCTGTATCAAACATGATGTATGCAAAATCACAAATTTGCTCATAACTGCTACAGATCCTGAGAATGGATGTGATGAGATGGATATAATATGGACAATGTACAAACCTGGTTTTTTAACAATAGGCTAATTCTTAATAAAACTAATGTAAACAATAATATAATAAATGTAGAGCAAATTTTCAAAATTCTTACGAGGGATGTCTTTTAAGTTTTGCATATAGAAACATAGTTACTTAAATTCAAAGTTTCACAGCAATAGGTGCAGTGTTCTCACTACATTTTCGCGCCATAATTTATTACAACTTTCAGAGACAATTATCGCAACAAGAATGCCTTGCTGAGTTACTATCTGTTTTCGGCAACGAAGCGCCACATCAGTCGACAATTTCCCGTTGGTATGGAGAATTCAAACGTGGACGAGGTGAGTCTTAGCGACGATCTCAGGGTGGGTGCACCAAAAACGGCAGTCACCCAGGAAAACGTCGATGCTGTGCGCAAACTCATCATTGAAGATAGACATGTGACATATCGCGATATTGAGGCATCCTTGAAGATCTCAAAGACCTCAATTCAAAAAAAATTCATGAAGAATTAGGAGTAAGAAAATTAGTTTCTCGTTGGATACCCCACCTGTTGACTAAAGAGCAGAAAGCAGCCGGGGTTAATTGGTGTCAAAAAACGATTGACCGTTTCAATTCCGGAAACTCAAAAATGTGTACCGCATTGTTAGTGGTGATGCATCGTGGATTTACTGTTATGAAACAGAAAATAAACGACTGTCGGCTATTTGGGTGTTCCAAGGTGAAGAAAAGCCAATAAAAGTCAGCCGTTCTCGAAGTGTTTCGAAAAAGATGGTCGCGACATTTGTGTCAAAAGCGGGTCATATTGCAACAATTCCTCTTAATGGGCAAAGGACTGTTACTGCGGATTGGTAAACCACCATTTGTTTGCCAAAAGTCATCACCGAGCTTCGAAAAATCATCCTCCACCAAGACAATGCAAGCTCGCACACAGCCCAAAAAACAAGGCAGTATTTAACGGAAGAAAACGTGGAATTATTGGACCTCCTCCATATAGTCCCGATCTAAGTCCTAACGATTTATTTACTTTCCCGAAAATTAAAAACAGACTGCGTGGTCAAAGGTTCCAGTCACCAGAAGAAGCAGTTGACGCATTCAAAAATGCCGTTTTGGATCTGCCAGCAAACGAATCGAATAAGTGCTTTGATAATTGGTTCGAGCGCATGCAGATGTGTATTAATCTTCGTGGAGAATACTTCGAAAAACAATAAAGTCATTTAAAACTACCTACTGTGTTGTTTTATTTCCATATGCAAAACTTAAAAGACATCCCTCGTATGTTTTTTGGAGGCTGTAGTGATTTTGATGAAATTTTTGTAATACAAAACAGAATATTGAGAAATATTATAGGTTTGAAGTTGATTGAATCATGTAGAGGCAAATTCAAGCAATTCGGTATGATAACAGTTTTTGGAGTGTTTATTCAAGAATGCCTCATATATCTATTTAAAAATAAGCGAATGTTCACAGTTAATTAGCCTACAAGTAACCATAATAGAGTTTTTAACTATCATATATTTATCCTAAGCATAGATTAACATTGTTTGAAAAAGGAACTCTTTATAAGTGTCTAAAACTTTTTAATCATTTACCAGCAGTTGTGAAAAAGATTGTAAAACTAAGTGCATTTAAAAAAATCTCATATAAGATATTACTAAATCTAGAACCATATACAATTGATGAATTTTTCAAGACAGATTTTAATAATATGCTTTAAAGCAAGATTTATCCTTAATTTTGTATCACAAGTAGTTTACAGGTGTTGTATAGTATTTGTATTTGCAAATAAAGATTATTGTTAAGTAAACAAATTGGTTGTAGGACGGTCAGTACTACAACGTGTAGTCGGCCAACCGCTATACTGACTATGGAGATGTGACGTAAATATCGCCTTCAGAACGAACATATTTCTGCGGGACGGAATTTTGACAGTATAACTTTTTCGTTTCTAGAGATAGATTGATAATTATTTCACACTCTTGTCTCCTGTTTCTTGAGATTCCATTCGAACTGATAAAAAAGGAATGGTAAACTTATTTATTTAGGCGGCTCGTTTATGCGTGGAGTCCTTAGGTCCTTTGATCCAGTTTTTACGTTAAAGAGATGGCAAGGAACTGTAAACTGTTCTTTTAATTCAAAACTGGATTCAGCACTTGAAAAATACTCAAAATATATCTATTTATATGTCTCAATTAATACTTTTTCAATTATTAGGTGAATGCTACATGATCAATATCTATTGTGATCTATATCACCAATATGTATTGGTGGATTTGTCAGTGTCAACCAATTTGTGCATCAAAAGATAAAATAAATAATAATAAATATTCCATGTATAGCATTCAACTTAAACAAAAATGAATGTATGTTAATCCAGTGTGTTAATAGTATATACAAGAAAAAGGCAGAGAAGAGTTATACTATCTTTTAATTTTTTGTTAGTCAACTCTTAAAAAATAAGGCAATATAATTATTGTAGATTCGTTGCGTATTTTGTCCATCTTATGATGAACGTTTCTTATAGATTCCAGCTAGTATGGAAGAAGTGATAGCAGCAGTGAGTACAGCAAAGCCAACAATCCCCTTTAAAAATAATCAACCTAAAAAGGAAATTATTACCAGACACATTTTCAAGCTGCATCTTCCAGGCTCAAAGCTAAGTCACCATTAGAGTCTGCAATCAAGATAAAGAAGAGAGTAAAGGATATGAAAATGAAGAATAAAGCTCAGAAAATCAAGTACAAATTCAGACAGGAAAACAAGAATAT